AGGAAATAAAAGTTTGCAGGTCTAAAGCAGAATAAATAGATAGTAATAAATAGAAATAACAGTACCTAATAAACAAAGAAATCTTGATGTCTTTTTTTTTAATTTTCAGCTATATGAAATGAATATTTTCTTTGTTTTCTCTCTTCAGCATCAACATATTCTGAGTCAAATCAATCAAATTGCTGCAGAATTTTGAGGGTTCAAGAATTATAAAACAGTTGTAAATTGTTGATTGAATTTGGAAATATACATTAGAATTCAATGTTTGATATCAGAAAGCCTGAAGTTAAGCAGAGGGAGAGAGAAGGGGGGGGGGGCGGAATCTGAAAATGTGTCTTGGCATCGTTGCTCATCTTATCCTGTTAGAATAATGCATTTTTTGTTTTAGAAAATAACAATAGAAGAACTAAAAAACAACAAAATCCCCCAAGTACAGTAGTACCTCAACTCCTTTGAAGCTCATCTAATTTGGTACTCAACAGATTTTGACGTGAAAATTTTGTCCCGGTACTCAGTGTTTGTTTGGTACAACAAACAAGCCAGAGCTTGTGATTGTTGGCTGCCTTGTGACTCACTACATTTTTTTGTTATGAGAAAAATCTGTTTGGTACTCATCACACCTCCTGGAACCAATTAGCGATGAGTACAAAGGTACCCTTGTATCAGTAGAATAGATACAGTGAAACAATATATTCAAGCTTTCTTTTGTTGAATAGTTCAGCATATTTCCCTATCACTCTGGGCATGGACATATCCAATGACAGGAAGAAAAAAATACAAACTCTCACCAAACGCTCTATAAAAAGATGCTATGCAGACATCTCTGTGAATGTGAGCTTTTTTCCTGACCTGATAGTTCAGTGATTCAGATAACAAGCTGATTATGCATCAGTCATTTTCATTCTTTAGCTAATACTGGAATACCTGTCACTTCCAATCAGACATCGAGTTTCCAGTTTTATTTACCAAAACAGTCTGTGTGGTAACAGATATACATTGCTTCCATCTAAAGAGAACTCTCATGCTACTATAATGCAAACACTTCTCTGGGGATATTCTCCATGCTCTTTTCAGGACAGTTTTTTTCTTTTTTTAACCCAAAGAACTTGACGCTGAAGAATATCTATCCAGGATTTTATGATATTGGGTTGTCTTGCTTGAGCAGAATACCAGAGTAGTTCTCTGGAATGGATACAAGGTCTCCTGCTTTAGGAGAGTCCTTGAAGATCTGTAGAAGGTCTCCAAAGTCCCTTCCAACTCTATTATTCTGTATTCTATTCTGTGCAAATTGGAATCTTTCATAATGCAGAATCCTAGTTGACATAGAAACCAGTGCAGGGGTGGGCTGATGGGGGTTCGCAGGAGTTCGGGAGAACCTCTAGCTAAGATTCTGTGCAGTTCAGGAATTCCCATGCAGACTGCTTCAGATGTAGGTAAGTGCAGGGCGCGCATGGAGGCTTAGGGAGGCCAAAAAATGGGCCTACACATTTCCGGCCTCCAGAGAGACTCCAGAGCTTGGGGAGGCTGTTTTTGCCCTCCCGGAGGCTCAAAAAAACCCTCCAGAGCCTGGGGAGAACAAAAAGCCCGCCCCCACCACCATGGTGCAGGAGGCTGACTAGGCCATGGCCACCATGGCATGCCCACCCAGCAACCGGGCAGAGAACCCCTTGTTAAAATTTTTGAAGCCCACCCCTGAGCCAGTGTGTAACCATGTGTGATGCTTTTTATTCTGCAGACAGTTAGACCTGCAGGAGGAAAATCATCTCAGTAAGGTCAGCAGGGGTTAAGGTTTCATTGCTTATCACCTAGGTTCCTTAATTGAACTGCCCATAGTCCTTGGTCTGAATGCAAAAACTCTACATGTGGGACCAGTTCAGATCTGTATCACGTTCCTGCCTGTTGCATGGAAGAGAAAGAGAAGGTATCGTCTGAAGGAATGGGGGTGAGAATCAGTGGTGGATTTCAAATTTTTTTACTACTGGTTCTGAGGGTGTGGCTTGATGGGTGTGGCATGGCTTGATGGGCGTGGCTTGGTGGGCATGGCAGGGGAAGGTTACTGCAAAATCCCCATTTCCTCCCAATCAGGTGGGACTTGGGAGGCAGAGACTAGATGGGGGTAGGGCCAGTCAGAATTTTTACTACTGGTTCTCCGAACAACTCAACATTTCTCCAGAACTGGTCAGAACCTGCTGAAACCCACCTCTGGTGAGAATGACATAACATGTGTACCCAATTTTTGATGCTGGCCAGTCACTTTCCAGTGTCCTTTTGCAGATTGTCCCTCAGGGGAATTCGATCCTCAGAGTCACCTGCTTGCTGTAAGAAAATCTCTTGTTGTGTAAGGTAGCTACTTTGGATCCAGGAAACTCCATTGGTACAAAGTTTCAGCTGGATCAGGTAGGGATTAGTCCCTCCTGTGCTTTATAGCTTAAAATACTTTGCAAGACAGACCACACAGTGTCAATTATATTTACCTAGAAGTAGCTCCTACCGAGCTCCATGGGACTTCCAGATAAATGCATTTAGGATTATAACCTTGTGTTACTTTAATGACAGCTTGCTCCTTAGAGTGGCCAGTTTAACACGCACAAATAGACATATAGTCTTAGCAGAATCCTTTCAGACAGAGAATAGGAACATATTTAATACTAGCCCGGCACTGTAAAATTATCACATCTAATTATAATCGCAGACCCGGGATAGAAAAATATACAGTAGGGTTTGGCTAGCTTTAAAACAGTAAGTAAAGTCATAGGAAATGATAGCGTTAGAAATTTCTGCACTGAGCTAAATTTAGTTTTTGGCCTGGCGTTTTTGGAGGTCTGCCTGGTGACATTATGTCTGAATATCTGCCATTTTTTCCCCCATGTGCTTAAACAGCAAAATATCTGCCAAAAACAATACCCAGGAAATATAGTGGAAGAAAATGTTGGCAACTAAATTTGTCTAGGTTTTTCGTTCCATTGAGAAGGAGCATATAAACCATTATCATTTTCTACAACTTCTCATAAAGTGAAGTCTTATTGGAAGTAAGCTTCACTTTTGGCACAAACACAGCCCCACCGATGGTGTTTTCTTGGCCATAGTATGGAAGTGATTTGTTACAACCATCTTCCAGATTTCTCCCCCCCCCCTTTTTTTTTTTTGCAACTTCCATGCTAGTCTGCTTCCAAATCACAGGCACTATCTGAATAAATCCAACTGAATAAACAAAGCAAATGAAATAAAATAACATCCTGAACTTGACATCGTATGAGATGAATTGACTGATTCTTTAAAAAAAATCTTGCTACAATTTAATGGACTTCAGGCTTCCAAATTCAACAGAAACCCAAAATAATAAGCAGCAACAAAAAGAAAACTAAAAACATAAAGCACACAAAGAGGTCTTGTGTTCCAAAGACTCTCCAGAATAACTCAAGTCTCCAATAACTTTTAAAAGTTGATCAAGAGTGAAGCAGATCTATGTTCTGTGTAGAACTTGGCAACTTTGGCTGGCTGAGGGAGTTGAAGTCCACAAGTATTAGTTGCCAAGTTTGGAGGCCCCTGCTGTAAAGGAACACTACTTAACACAAAAAGAATGTCTGAAATTGTCCAGAAATGCTTTCTGGTCATTTCCGTTATGGCAACGACCATGAAGAAAGCTTCTTCAGACCACCAACATTTTAACAGCCTGAAATCTCACTAAATTACTATCATTTAGTGATAATTATGTGAGTTCAGGGTTTTCAAAGTATCAAGAGATTACAATGTGTACCACGGGTGGGTTCTACTTACCTCTACGCAATGGAGCTGCGCACATGCGCAGAAGCATTTTGATGACATCAGGGTTGGTGGGCGGAGCCTCCCACCAGTTTTACTACTGGTTCTATAGAACCAGTGCGAACTGGGGGCAACCCACCACTGATGTATACTAATCTTCTGAAATACTGGCATTTTGTTTTCATATTTTTTTTAAAAAAATTGGCTGATAAAAAAATGTATGTTTTTGTGATAACAATAATACATACGGAACATGTGTAAAAAGGGAATAGATAGGCAAAATAAGAGTTGGGTTTGCAAAACATAGAATATAACTTTCATGGAATTCTGATCACTGCTGGTTTAAGGAAGGAAGGAAGGAATCCAGGGGTGGGATGCTGGGGATTTGCAGTGGTTCAGGAGAACCTCTAGCTAAGATTCTGTGCAGTTCGGAGAACCCCCAAATCCCACTCCTGGCTGGCCCCACCCACCCTGTCCTGCCCCTCCCAGGAGTCCCCACACAGCCCATTTTGGATGCAGGTAAGTGCAGGGCACGCGCAGAGGCTCAGGGAGGGCAAAAAACAGGCCTACTGGAAGTTTGGAAGGCTGGAAATGGGCCCGTTTCTGGCCTCCCGAGGGCCTCCAGAGCCTGGGGAGGCTGTTTTCACCCTCCCAGATGCTCAAGGAAAGCCTTAGGAGCCCAGGAGGACAAAAATGCCACCCCTGCTGTGGTGCAAGAAGCAGGCTAGGCCATGCCGACCATGGCCATGCCCACCCAACAACTGGGCAGAGAAGCCCTTGCTAAAATTTTTGAAGCCCACCCCTGAAGGAATCCACATGTCTAGGACACAGAGCATTTGCTTTATGGATAGTTCTCAATTTACAACCACAAATGGAAGAAGAATGTAAATAAAGGTTGAGCTCGTACTTCTGGATGTTCTTTTTGACTGGATCACCTCGTAAGGCTACCACATTACAAAGAAATTCCTTTCACTGAAGCACTTTGTTAATGGGTATTTTTGCGAAGCAGGACAACATATGGATTATTCGTATCTTCAGACAATGTATGCTCTTTCCAATAGTACCTTCAATTCTTAAGTAACATATTTAAGAATATGTCGTTCTGAAGAGAATGTTTGTGTTCAGGAGGAAGAGGCAAACCACTTGAGCAAGTGTAGGAAGGTAGTGAGTTCCATTTTTTTTTTTTGAAAGGCTTTAATATTGAAAGACAAATGATGTTATTCTTTTATTTAAAACAGATAACTCTGCAAGCGTTTATGCAAAACGCACAAGTTTCAGCCGACAAATGCAAGATTCCTATGTCCTGCCTATTGTGATAAGCGACGGTGGGAACCCTCCTCAAAGCAGCACCAACATGCTTCCGATTCGAGTTTGCAGTTGTGATGGGAATGGTGGTGTGATCTCCTGCAACCTAGAAGCCTACATCCTCAATGCTGGATTAAGCACTGGAGCTTTAATAGCAATCCTTGCTTGCATTGTGATATTGTTAGGTAAGGATGTTTTAAGTTCTTCCTCTCCCTCTCATGCACTTTACCAATTCCCCCCTCTTTTGACTATGATTCAAGAACAATAGCAATTTTCTAAGACTCTTTTTATTTTTTTTCCATCGGGAGAAGCTAAGAGTCTTCCAAATTACATGCAACATGGAAGCAGGATTATTATTTTACACCAGGGGTCTCCAAACTTGGCATTTTTAAGACTTGTGAACTTCAATTCCCAGAATTTGTCAGGCATCCAGGCTGGATAGGGAATCCTGCAGGGGTGAAATTCAAAATTTTTCCCTACCGATTCTGTGGGTGTGGCTTGGTGGGCGTGGCAGGGGAAGGATATTACAAAATCCCCATTCCCTCCCCACTCCTGGGGGAAGGATACTGCAAAATTTCCATTCCCACCCCATTATGGGGCCAGCCAGAGGTGGTATTTGCCGGTTCTCTGAACTACTCAAAATTTCCACTACCAGTTCTCCAGAACCTGCTGAATTTCACCTCTGAAATGCTGGGAGTTGAAATCCACAAGTCTTAAAGTTTGAAGGCTCCTGCCCTATACCAGTTCAAATGACATCCAGGTTCTCTGTCAATCCACACTTTCCTTTTGAAGAAAGAAGTTCTAAAATACAGGTTGTATTTTAATTGCCAGTTAATTTAGGGAGGGGGAAAAACAGTGTGAGAATTGCCCTCTTTTTTTTCCTGAAACCCCTAAAGTGGGGTTTCCTGTCTCAGCTAAACAAGTAAATGTTGGATAATGAGTTGAGATTCTTTTTTTCTTTTTCTTTTTGGTAAAGAGGTTGTGGATATCCTTTAACAATTTTGTGGAAGCTTTTCTTTTTCATCTGTGTGTCTCCATGACCACCACTCTTTTCTGCCACTTTCATATAAAGGCTCATTGTATCTGAGGTATCACACTACAGCCGTGATGGCGAACCTATGGCACGCGTGCCACAGGTGGCATGCGGAGCCATCTCTGTGGGCATGAGAGCCAACGCCCAGGTCAGCTCCACCGCACATGCCCGTGCGCCTCCCCCCAGCCAGCTGATTTTCAGGTCTCCTCCTGGCTGGCTGATTTTCGGGCATGTGCAGCGGGTTGGGATTGCATGCGCATGCGTGGGGGGTGGGGGGCATGTAGTGTCCCCTGTGGCCCATTTTTGGTCCCAGGAGGCTTCAGGGGGGACTGCTAGCACAAAAACAAGGGTTGTGTGTGCATGTGTGGGGAGAGCACAGGGGGTTGCACACGCATGCGTGGGGGCGGGGCCTGCAGGGGGCATTGCATTATGGATGTCGGCATGTATGTGTGCGCTGTCCCGTGCTTGCACGCGCTTTCGGCACCCAAGGGAAAAAAGGTTCACCATCACTGCACTACAGTATTCGACAATCTAAAGTATTGTGTTGTTCTTTGTAATATCTATGGTAAATAGAAACTATAGAGTTACAGTTCTTAGGCTGGTTAAGGAAAGGAGAATTGTTTGATTGGAACTGCCTTTTTGCCCTCTTAAAATATACCTTTACAGATAAAGCTTGAGACAGTGCCCTGTTTTAAAACGTTGCTGACTAAGACCACTACAGTGGAAAATTTAGGGAGGATATTTTTGCTCAAATATTGCTTCTCTTGGGACATAGAAATGCCTGTATTTCATGGGTTTGGGGGTTTGAAGTGCTTAAATTTATGCTGTATAATGTGTAGTAAGATATCTAAGAAACAAAGCATACTTGAACAGCTCCTGTACTGAAGAGAAAGGGGGAAAATGAAATATATAAATATATAAATCAAACCATTGTCATCCTGGTTTCAAATAGATTTTCTTATAGAGATCTACACTTCTCAGTTTATGGATTTTCCATCCCTGTGATGCCCTTTTGAAAGGTTTATTGTTCCCCTTCTTGCATCAAGTTGTTAGAATTCACAACTCCACAACCATCCACTGAGGTTGTGGAAGAAGAGATTTGAGACCTACAACCTTTCATCTTACGATGATGAGCTTAGCCCTGCTACTAACTAGATAGGTTTGCTCATTATATTAAGCCATGGTTTGTTTGTTCAAGCATGATTTATTGTATAAAATGACAACTTGGTAGTTGTGAACGATCAAGCACATTGTGGCTTAGCATAATGTAGAAATCCAACCTGAAATAATATATGTCTTTTCTCAGAGACAAACTTTTTTTAAAAAAAAATCTAGATACTATCAGGTTCACAGTTGGAGGTGTAAAGCTGGACCCCAAAATTTTCTATAGTAGTCCTTCCATTTTTCCTTCACCTCCTACATTTTCTGGTTAGATGCAGGGGTGAAATGCTACTGGTTCGGACCGGTTTGGTTAGTGGCGGCGCATGGTTCGAAGCAGTGCAAGGCTCCACCCACCAGCCCAGATGTCATTACTTCCTGGTTTTAACCAGGAAGTAATCTGTTTTTGACCCTCTGTGCATGCACGTAGGGCTTTGCGCATGCGCAGAGGGTCTAAGCACACATGTGACCCATGTGTGCACCATTTCAAACTAGTAGGGAAGGTAAGTAGATTTCACCCCTGGTTAGATGGTTTGGCTCAGGCTAGTTCAACAAGGAACCCTTCCCCCCCAATACTTTTGCTGTCCCACAAGAATTCACAGCCATGAGCCTAGAACTAGATGAAAAATCTATTAGCTATGGATTAATTTGGAATATACTGTAGTCTAAACAGATTGATTCCAAGGACAGGCAACCAAAGCACTTTTTATTCATGCAACAAAGGATGCTAGCTAGGGGTACTTCCATAAATATTGCTTTCTGTGTTTTTTCTCCTATTTCATTTCATTTCAGAAATTCAATATATCTTATTTTCAGATCTAGGACTTTTGCATGAATCATTGCTTGTTTCCTTTTTTAAAAAAAAAAATCTTCTCTTTCCTCAGTGATCGTCGTGCTCTTTGTAACCCTAAAACGACAAAAGAAAGAGCCCCTCATCGTTTTCGAAGAAGAAGACGTACGGGAGAACATCATCACTTACGATGATGAAGGTGGCGGGGAAGAAGACACTGAAGCTTTTGACATCGCTACTTTGCAAAATCCAGATGGTATCAACGGATTTATTCCTCGCAAAGACATCAAGCCAGAGTACCAGTATATGCCACGACCCGGGCTTCGGCCTGCTCCCAACAGCGTTGATGTGGATGATTTTATCAACACAAGAATACAGGAAGCAGATAATGACCCCACGGCTCCTCCTTATGATTCCATCCAGATCTACGGCTATGAAGGGAGAGGATCCATAGCCGGTTCGCTGAGCTCATTAGAATCGGCAACCACGGATTCTGATCTAGATTATGACTATCTACAAAACTGGGGACCTCGTTTTAAGAAACTAGCAGATTTATACGGCTCCAAAGACACTTTTGAAGATGACTCTTAACAATAAAGTTCTCAATTTGGCCTTAAGAACTGTGTCTAATGTGCTAAAAAAAGAATAATGGAAAAAAAATATTCAGAGGAAATGTAAGCAGGTATTTTTTAAACAAAAAGTGAAGAAAAGTTCATATTCAGCATTTAGGTTTGATGGGGGAGGGGGTCCTTTGATGGGAAAAAAAAACGGACAAGAAATACTGTGAAGTACCTTTTCATGGAAAAACAAAAGGCTAAGATGGGAGTTGGGTCTCAACTTTGCTAGAAGGGGGAAATGATCTCTGATAAAAAAATAATAATGATTAAAACATATTTAAGTGAAAGGAAATTCTAAATGCCATCTTAGAACCGAGGGGCAGTCTTTTTATGTACTCTGAACAGTTAAATCTTTTATGTCAAAGAAGCTTCCACAAATTAGAAAAAAAAGATAACAGTTCTGAGCTGTAATTTCGCCTTAAACTATGGACACTCCCTACGTAGTGCATTTTTAAACTTGAAACATATAATATTCAGCCAGCTTAAACACATATGATATATGTACAGGACAATGTACAATTATAATGTCTCTTGAGCATCCAACTTGTTTCTGCTGACTCTTGTAAATCTTTTTGCTTATACTTTCATCTTAATCTAATACGTGCCAGATATAAAACTCTGTCTTGTTGCAGTGGGAGAAGCCCTATTTCTATGTCATTTTTAAATGTATCTATTTGTACAATTTTAAAGTTCTTATTTTTAGTATACATACAAATATCAGTATTCTGACATGTAAGAAATGTTACATCACACTTATATTTTATGAACATTGTACTGTTGCTTTAATATGTGCTTCAATATACGAAGCAGACTTTGAAATAAAAGATTCTTTTTTACTACTTGCTCTGCTTCTTAAACATGGAAAAGGGGATTTTTTTTTAATTAAAATGTACTACAACAATATTTTTAAAGGACATCTGTCCTTTAAAAACCCCATTTATTTCTGGGTTAAGTTTGTGTGGATTTATTTAATGTGTTAGGTAAGTTCTTGTATTTAAAGAAATACTGGTAACATCTATATTGAATTGGAAAATACTTGGCAGGAACTAGGAAGGTTTTTCAGTTCAATCCTATAGTACCAGTGGTGGGTTTCAAAAATTTTTACTACCGGTTTCTGTGGGTGTGGCTTGTTGGGCGTGGTATAGCTTGGTGGGTGTGGCATGGTGAGCGTAGCAGGGGAAGGATACTGTAAAATCTCCATTTCTACGCCACTCCAGGGGAAGGTTACTGCAAAATCCCCATTTCCTCCCAATCAGCTGGAATTTGGGAGGCAGAGAATAGATGGGGGCGGGGCCAGGGGGTATTTTTACTACCGGTTCTCCAAACTACTCAAAATTTTCGCTACTGGTTCTCCAGAACTGGCCAGAACCTGCTGAAACTCACCTCTGTATAGTACCCAAGATTGTTGTTGGATCAAAAAGGTTTCTGCCCTTTCAACAAACAATAAAACCATAGAGTTTCCTTCATCTACATCTCAATTAGGAATGCCACTGAGATAATGGCAAAAAAAATATAATTACAGAAACCTTATTCATTAAATTAGGATTATTTTTTATTATTCCTTATGTAAACATAAAGACTGTGAGTTGTCAGAACTTCAAATCTGCATCAGAAATAGTTTTTGAGCGGGAGTATCGTATCTTTAGGGGATGCGGTGGCTCAATGACTAAGACACTGAGCTTGTCAATCGAAAGGTCGGCAGTTCAGTGGTTCAAATCCCTAGTGCCGCATAATGGTGTGAACTCCCATTACTTGTCCCAGCTTCTGCCAACCTAGCAGTTCAAATGCACGTAAAAAATGCAAGTAGAAAAATAGGGACCACCTGTGGTGGGAAGGTAACAGCGTTCCGTGAGCCTTTGGCATTTAGTCATGCTGGCCACATGACCACAGAGACGTCTTCGGACAGCGCTGGCTCTTTAGCTTTGAAACGGAGATGAGCACTGCCCCCTAGAGTCAGGAACGACTAGCATGTACGTGCGAGGGGAACCTTTACCTTTTATCGTATCTTTGCATTCTTTACAAAATGACCAGTTGTAGGTTGAGAACTACTATATGTAAGGAGGCATGGCTCTTATCAGGAGAGGATGAAAAATGTTGTAAATTCAATCAATGGATTGCCATTATTTTTTATTTTTCTAAAGGAGCAAGAAAAATGGAAACCTTTGGAATTCCAGAGGGGAAAAATTCCTCATTAAAATGTCTTGAGAAATGTTAGTTCAACCTGAGACCTCACTGAATATTATTAATAATGCTTAAAATTATAATTACTAATAATATTATCAGTCTATTCTCCATGAATTTGTCTTTTATTTTTTAAAAAATGTTTAACTAATGGTCTTCTGTTCACATTTTCATAGTGAATTCCAAATAAGAATCATTCCAATTTAAAGAAGGACTTCACTTTTGTCAAAGTGTAACACACAGCTAAACATTTTGCATCATCCTAAATTGAAATCTTTTGGAATTTGGCTTGCAATTACTCATTGTAATAAAAAGAATCAGTCATCAAGCAAGAAATGACATTATTTTCCAGCAATGGGAGAGCACCAGAAAAGAAAGAAAAAAAAAGTTCTTAGTTTCTTCCAGAATGTTGCATTGACAAGGACCTAAAAGACATTCATTAGCACAATGTTTCTGCACCATTCTCCATCCATGCCCCCTTTTCACAAGCTTAGCTCTTTTGTCACATCATATCACATAATTGGGCAGAATTGGAAGCAACGTTCATAGGCTGCATTATTTATAGGGAGCTCTTTTTCACCACTTAAGATACATGCTGACTACATCCAAATGAAGGTCTGCCAGCTCTTATGTGAAGGATATCTCAAAATGTTCCGGGAAACCAGACATTTTACAACCAAATGAAGAGAACATGGGAGAAACACAAAAAGGCTAGGCCTGATCCCATTACTAAACAAAGGAATCAGGGACCTAAAGGCATAGCAAAGCAGCTACAAAGGAAAGAAATAAAATCTAAATTAGGAAAAAAATATCTATGTCCGAGAGGAATATAATATCATTCTGTGGTTAGGTTTCCAAGCATTTTGACGTAGAAAATAATGCATTCATTGGTTGAAATCCTACAACATTCATAGTTAGGTTCACATACTAGATGAGGTCACAGTTAGCCTAACTCTAGATTATTGACTAAGACTTAACTAGCTAAATGTATACATTATATCACATTAAGCAACAAACCTATGGTTTACATATCTAGTTTGTAAGAGAAACAACATGAAATGGAACAAATCGTGTTGTGATTTAGAAACCATTTGTGTGACACAAATATATACAGTATATATATTCTCGAAATTAGGGACTTAGTTTGGTAGGCATGTAAGAGATTGCACTGAATTAAAAAATACACTGTTAGTATTTTCACTCCCTCCCCCCAAATCTAAAATTAGATCTTTGATTTGCAGATGAATTTGGTAGAAATTTAAGGTGTTTAGTGTCATTATTACAGTACATTATTACAACCCATGATTTTTTAAATATCCTAAGATTTTTTTTTGAAAGGTTCATGAATAAGTTGACATTTGCTTTCACTTATAAACTCCTTTAATGTTTGAATCATTTCCCATGAAAGTATAATTTTATATTTAAAAAAAAAAAAAATCTGTAAAGTGCAATATTTCCTAACATTACTCTTCTCACCTTCCCACCATTATAAAAATACACTGTACAAAAATACAATGTATTTTTAGTTCCATTTTTTTTATTAGTTTATAAAATACAAAATGCAAAGAAAAATGAAAATGGTGGGAAAGTAGGGGAGGAAAAAGGGAAGGAGAAAACATGTAGGGTAGGATAAAAGAGAAAAAGAAAGGAAAAGCAATAACTTCTGATTCTTTTTAGTGCAGAAGAATAAGATAATAACATACCAGCCTCATCTTTTTGCTTTTACATAGTAATATATATTAGCCATTTCTATAACAATAAACCTATCTAATTAGCAAAACCCAAAGTCAAAGTTTCATTTTTTTTTCACCTCAAGCATAAAGTCCAGAAACAGTTTCCAAGTGGAAACCAAGTTAGCTGTATGTTTTTCTTTGATTGAGGCACTCAATTTAGCCATCTCTGCTAATTCCATAAATTTTTCAGCCAGTTAATCATTGAGGGGATTAAAGTTAAAATGCATTTTTAAAAAGTTCTTATCACTCTGTATTTAAATGAAATTTACTATGATACTTTTTTTATATATAATTGCCTCAAATCCATCAGTGGAACATTTCTTTGGTATCTCTAATTTGAACCCATACATTACTTTAGTGCACCTTCGGAGTATGTTACAACTAGTTTTTTTTTTTTTGCTGCTTTAAGATCATTTTTTTTAAAAAAAAAATTTAAAGCCTGTTGGATAGTGTCACAATCTTTACAGAATACATATGAATTCTTGTACTGCACATTTGGTGCATATTATTTTCATTTTCTGCACTGTGAATCAGGGGTAAGTTCTACTTACCTTTACTACTGGTTCGCAACGGGATTGTGCACGCTCGCTTCAGTCGTGCACACGCCTTGCTTCTGCGCATGTGCAGATCGCTGATGACAACATCCGGGGCGGTGTGCGGGACCTCCCGCTGGTTTTACTACCGGTTCTTGCGAACTGGTCCGAACCGGGGGCAACTCACCACTGCTGTGAATGCAAACAAAGGCCAAACTTCTATGTGAAAATTTTGAGAAACAGATGATTGTGGTAAAATCAGTCATTTTTACCAGAATATGAGGAAAGTGAAACATTAAAATGGAAGCTAGATATATTTTTTGTTTGCTTTCTAGGTAGCAATTCCATTTATAACTGACTTTGATATCATTTGGGCTTTTCTAATAATTTTCTAATCACATCTAAATTTTGGTGCTAGAGTAGTACATAATAACATTAATAATAAGAGACATAAAACCTATGAAAAATAAAATAATGTATTTGCTGCAATAGGATTGCAAATAAATGTTTGCTGTTATTTATTTATTCAATTTATATTCTGCCCATCTCACTTTCTGAAGTTATACTGCTATTTGCTTTCAGAGGATTAAATATTCACTCATTGATGGAAACCAACTGACTTTTACACAATCCAAACCACAAATTGTTTCCTGAATTCATAGGAATTAGCTACATTGTGCAAGCTGGATTGATGAATCAGCTTGGAATTCTTTATAGTAATTTTTCTTCTTCTTCAAATCTATCACTATGCACACATAAGTACAAACAACACCCCAGAATTAGTTCTCTTTGTATCTTTAGTGACTATTGTTGTTAGCTGTGAAGTCATGTCTGACCCATTGCGATCCCATGGACAACATTCCTCCAGCCCTTCCTGTCCTGTACCATTTCCCGGACACCATTTAAGCTGACGCCGATGGCTTCAGTGACTCCATCAAGCCACCTCATTCTCTGTCATCCCATTCTTCTTTTGCCCTCAATCTTTCCCAGCATTAGGCTCTTCTCCATGAGTCCTTCCTTCTCGTTAGGTGGCCAAAGTATTTGAGTTTTATCTTCAGGATCTGGCCTTCTAAAGAGCAGTCAGTGTTGATCTCCTCCAGGAGTGACTGGTTTGATCGCCTTGCAGTCCAAGGGACTCGCAGGAATCTTCTCCAGCACCAGAGTTCAAAGGCGTCAATTCTTTGGCACTCGGCCTTTCTTATGGTCCAACTTTCACAGCCATCCATTGCAACTGGGAATACCATAGCCTTGACTATACACACTTTTGTTGGCAGGGTGATGTCTCTGCTTTTTAGAATGCTGTCTAGATTTGCCATAGCTTTCCTCCCCAGTAGTGTCTATAGACTACACATAAGATATTCTATACTTGATGTATCAAAACATCACACA